CCCCACAGAGAGTCTCTCTAAGATAAAGTCGTGCAAAAGTTTATGAAAATAGTTTATAAAAAATACTGAAAGGCACATTGTGTTTTGGACCGGGGCGTGTCCAACTCCAGTAGAAGTTTCCCAGCTCTAACACAGCCGATTCTGATGAAATGGATCAGTTTTAAAGCTCCACACAAGCCTAGTAACGCTACGACACCTGCTCCCATCCAGATGATGTTTTAATTCATATTTCATTAGCGGATGTAACTGTACTTCTGTTACAGTAAATTCAGGTGTTGGACTGAGCTGCTTCTCACCGACTGGAAACACTGTGAAACACAAACTACAACCGGTAACAGCCGGGACTCTTTAGGATCAGAAACAACTGGGATGACGCGTCTCTCCAAAGGGTTCAACAACTGGTCCCCTCCGTTCCCAGATGTCTGCAGACGTATTCAAAAGTGGTAAACATGGACCTGTCCCAACTTTTCTGAGACATGTTGTTGTCATTATGTTCAATAGGAGCTTATATTTTTCATAAACTAGTTTAATGTGTCACTTTAAACACAAGCTTGTTTTATGGCTTGTGAGATTTTTGAATCACTCTTAAATTCATTTATCATTGACATCTTACTCGGGCTCTGAACTTTTTAAAAAAACTAATAATGAAGGTTTTGTGAAATGTGAAATGTTAAAAACCAACTAGAACAGAGCTGGGAAAGGAAAGAAAATCTGACAGTACAGAGAGCAGTGAGCTCCATCCTCTGCTGCCCACCTTGCTTACAGTTAAAAAGAACCACGATGGAAAATATTTCAAGGAAATGGCAAATGTTTAATGGGCCGGCACTTGATGTTGAATTCCATAGTCTAATGTGCCGCAGTCAGGCATAGGAGCAAGTGTTGTGCACGTGCCAGGCTCGGGTCACCGGGAGGACCCGTCCAGGCTAACGCATCCCCAGAAACGTCAGATCAAATCTCACAAACAGAACGTGTCGATACGTTAATAGCTAGGTTTGAAACGTCAAGTCAAACCCACGAGTTTGACTTGAAAGGCGGATGATTTATGAGGCCTTGTTCTGCAGCCTTCACCTGCGCTGACCTGGAGAGCTTCACACTTACCGAGCTAAACTCGCTAACACAGCACGACGCGGCCAAAAACTCTTAAATCTGCCTCCCTTCCAGCCCTCCAAGAATGTCGGCCGGGCTCTGTGTGTGTGTTTCTTAAGCGTTCGCAGCGATATGTTCAAACGCGTATCCGATGTCGCTCTCCAGAGCCTCCCGTCTCCCTCCCACTCCTTTCACTGCGAGACCCTGCTCCCCCTCACCTTCCCAATTTCCAAACATTCCTGGGCCGTGCCACATCAGTCAAAGGGCCGATTCATGAGGTTAATGCAGACGGGGCTTCGGGACAGGATGTTTGGCCGATACCCCGCTCCGCTTAAGCAAACAAACCCCCAAAATATGATTACTGAGGGGGCAGCAAAAGGAGCCGTCCCTTTGTCTCATTTCAGCCCATCCAGGCCACGCTAATGTCCGCTAAGTATCATTTGCTCTACTTGTTTCCACATGTTGAAAAAGCCTAATGACCACGCGGTGAACAAAGGTCTGACAGTTCCAGCGGCTGCCCGCAGGAGTTTGTCTCTTTTCAGACCCCAGAAAGAAACAAAAAATGGGAGGACGGGGCTCTGCAAAAACAAGAGAAAGTGGGATCATGACTCAGAAGCTGGCTGCCAACCTGGCCGAGACAGATCGAGTGTAAAATGTAAATACAAATATTTACATATCATGCAAATGTACGAGTGCAGGCTCGTGTCATCTTTGAAGATTTATGAGAGCATTTTAACAATAATAACCTTTAATGTTTGCCCCTTTAACAGACAAACTGACGTCCCACAGGCGAGTCCCTTTCTGAAGGACTTCCTGATATCCAGAAGCAGAACTGGGGATTACAACCAATTTGACTCCCCCTGCCTTTCTCACACTTTGAAAAAGCGCAGGAGAATCTTTGCTGGACATAAAAAAACAACTAAAAACCAGCCTTTAGCACAGCGTTAATGGATCTGCGCCATCAGACTGAGCGGCTCGTTAAAATCCATCCGAATGCAACATTTTGAATCATTTTCATGCATCTTCTGTCTAATAACACCAAACTGACGGACGCCTCTTCTCCCAATAGATCACCGTAACGGGGCGACGTTTTTCAAGATTCACGGAGCACACACTTTCATCTCTTGGAGGAAAAAGCCCTGTTTTCTAATCCTCCACCAGCCTTCTCCCCTCAGATTAGCAACCATGGCAACGAAATCCAGGTGAGGAGGAGAAATCACCACAAAGTGCCCAAAAACGTCCCAACAAGGGTCTGGGACCAATCTGTGAACTTGTAAATAAAGGGGGGCCTTTGTATCAAGTAATATTCATGACAGAAAATGTACTTTCTGTGTATTTTTAGACTCTCTGATTGCATCAAATCCGTCCTATATTCCTCAGTCTAACTGATCGTTAAACCAAATCACATGTTCATTAGGTCAGCCAGTAAAATTTGAGTCAAATCTTTTACTTTCCCAACACAATTTCCAAAAATACACACAGCTTTCATTTGTAGATGTGCTGTGAGGGGTTAAATAAAACAACAACTGTTCATTCTGTCCGACAAATCGCGTGATGGCTGAACGGGCATGTGTGTGTTTTTGTACTGATAGGGCCCCTATGCGAGCACTCTGAGACGATCTTATCACAGAGTCAGACAAAAATTCCTCCCAGTCTCTCCGCCTGTCACACACACACACGCAAACAGACACACACACACACACACACACACACACACACAGACAATATTCGGCCGAACGGCGGGACGATCCGTATCGATATGAGCACACTGCCCTCCCAGTGGTCATTTCCTTTGTGAGAGCCGGCCTGTTTGCTGCGGTCTGAAGGGGAACGTCAACTGATCGGATGATAAAAGAGGCCGGGCAAAGGTATGTATGGGCCACACCCTGCTGTTTCTTCTTTTTCTTTAAAGCCCAGCTACTTTTAAAAGTATAAAAGAGGATGCTGAAGTGCATGAGCACATGTTCGGCGCTTGTTTTTGTTCAAAAGAAAACATCACAGGCTCTGGACGATAAACCGGAGGATTACCTGTACAACACAAAGATTAATTTAAACCAACATCAAGGCTTTGGGAGTGCAGTTAGTTCTTTGATACGTGCGGCGGTATTCTGCGCGTTGGGCTTATTTCCTGTTATTCGCGCAGCTCCAAACAGGAGCCTCATAAACCCTCAAAATTAACAACAAAAGCTACATGCAGATTTCTTGGCTGCCTCTGTTTACCCGAGACTCGCTCCTACTTCTGCTCTTGGCCTGCGCTCGGCTTCTGGGCTCCAGCGTTCTTGTGATGGGGGCAGGGGATCAGAGACCACACACACACACACACACGCACACAGGGACGGGAATACACACACCACAATCTCATAAGAAAACCAATGTATTTCCGCTCATTTGGACGGCCAGACAATAGAAGGCTCCCTTTCTCACTTCTTGGCTTGGAGATGCCTCAAAATCACAACCTAGAACTTGACTCCTGACTGACTTGTGGCTTTGACTGGAAAGCCAAAAAGGAGTTTTTGGACGTCGCTCGCAGCTGTGACGCTTTTTCTCCTCGTCTTGTTGGCGTGTGGTAATGACCTAAATGAGATTTTTGACGTTGCCTGTCTTGTCTGAACTGAAGTGTATCACCAGTCACTCTGGATTCGATTTACCTGGAAACTCCTTGTTGGACAGATCCGTACACAAAAATAGTTTGGTGTAAGTCTATTATCAAAAAAGGGAGGTAAAATCTATTTAAAAAAGAGGAACTGGACAGTTAACTGAATAAATGAAAACCCAAAAAAGCCTTTGTGGTGTCGTTCTTGCTCTGAGTTTTGGGAACCACTTAAGAAGATCCCAATAGGTTCAAGTTAATCTATTATTGAATAAGGGAGTTAAAAACTATTTAAAAAAAGAGGAACTGGACAGTTCACTGAATAAATGAAAACCCCCCAAAAGCCTGTTTGGTATCTTCTTGCTCTGAGTTTTGGGACCCAGTTAGGAAGATCCCGATAAGTTAATTTTTTCCCGACCGAGAGAAAAGTCCTCCGTCGATGGCATGCTTCTGAGTCTTAGATGGGTCCAAGATGCCGTGACTACATTGCACAGACTTTTCTAGGTGCCCATTCACCTTTCAACACCGTCCACAAGTGAGCCCGGGGAGGCTTGATTGAGTGGGTTTGTGGTTTTCTTCTAACGCTACAAGGACCTCTCCACCCGACCCCAGCACGTAAACAAATAAAGCTCCAGTTTCATCATCTAGAGGGGGCTGTTTCCTGTCCCAACGCAGGCCTCAGCCCCCCCCCACACACACACCCCCCTTCCACATATACACACACACGCACATACACACACACACACACACACACAACTCCCCACAGCCGCCTCGGCTCGGAGCGGCTCGGCTCCCCCGCCCCCCCAAAAAGTGCCAGCCTCTTTCCACTGCTCAATTGCAGAGAGGAATGAAGGGATTTGAGGGAAGAAAGAGGGAGCGGGGGGGGGGATGGGTGGCTAGAGAGGCAAAGGGGATTGGGAGTATGCACGGGGATCTTATTGCAGCCTGGGTCCCGGTGAAATATTTTGCCGTGGAGAAAGCGCAGACGGGGAAGGAGAGACAGAAAGGCTACACTGCTGCGGCATCCAAATAGTGAGACCCCAGACCCCCACCGAGCCCCCCCACGCCTCTCACAATAGGAGCTTTATGTGCCGCGGTTTTCGGCTGTCTTAGCCGCCTTTGAAGACAGGAGGGAAGCACAACACGATAACACCAGTAAATATAATTTACCCCCTTGTGTAAACACACGCAGAGAGGATCCACGTTATGCAAGTTTAGATTAATAAGTGCCTGAGTCTGAAGTCTGGAGTGTGGGAAAGGCCTCAGACCCACACCTGCCCGGGCTCAATGAGCAGAAGAAGAAGAAGAAACAGGAGAGACTCACCTGTGTAGTCTCTTGGCATGATGTGAGGCAGACTGCTGAGGGGGGGGCGCGCCGTTTCAGTGTAAGACAGGGCTGAGTCTGGGTTTAAAAGAAGCAGAAAATGCAGTTAAGGGGTGAGAACCAGACGATCCACGTTTCCTTAAAGCTTATCATCAGGAATAAGAGTCGGGGTTTCATTATTGTTTTTGACACTGTAAATTCTTAATAATTTATTGACATTTATTTATTCTTCTCACACTATCATTATCACTTATTTTAGATCTGTTGTATATGTACATATGTATAGACATGCATACATGTGTATATGCTGTTGTATATCTGGAGTTGGTAAATAAAATAATTTCCCTCTGGGATTATTAAAGTATTTCTGATTCTGAGTATTTGAGTGTTGAGTTGTCAAAAAAAGAAGTGTTTATCTCTAAGGATTTTGCAAATGAAGCTTTTATGAAGCCCGTCGATAGGCTTGAGTCGACCGATTTACTGTTTGTGCTCTAAATGCTTGACAGTGGAGGCCTGCGTGCACAAACTGAGCCCGACTGGTAATAATAGGTGTCATTTTCAACGCGACCAGCTTTGAGAAGATAATCCGAGTTTCCAGTCTAAAAATATGAGGGTGACGACGCGCGCCGTGTCATTTACTGGTTTGTAAGATGGCGGCCTTTGTTCCAAACTCACCCAGTGGCTTGTGTTCGTCTGTCCGGGACAGAGAGTACGGAGGAGGAGGCGACTCTGAAAGTAAAACAGCGTTAACGTTAATGGTTATCGGCTGAGAAACAAAACAACAAGCATCTTGGGAAAAACTGAATTGAAATTGAAATTTGCATCATGTATAGTTGGACCATCATGTATCTCAGGACCACTATGTCTGTCAGGAAACCAAAAAGGAAAAACAATTATGTGTGGGTAGATGAACAAATGTCAATAAAACACTTTTGCCATCTGTTTTTCTTCAATCATTTTTCTGAGAGATCATCAGAAATATGTGCATCTTAGAAAAAATTGAGCTGTACACCTTTTTTTCTCCTCAAAAGGGCTATTAAAACCATGGTTTCTACACAAAATGGCCCCTGAATCCTGCTGTAACACAAATCTGGGACCTCTATCCAGTCGGCGGTTCACATATCCCATCAGTGAATGCACCTTCATGGAGCTGGATTATGGTTTCCCCCCACATATGCTTTCTTCTAACTTTTCTTTGTGTTACATTTCACTGAAACCTTCTTAAAAACAGACTAAAGAATAATCTCTGAATCCAGAAAACAGCAGTAGGAGCTGCTGCTGCTGCTGTTGGGACGCCCCCTCTCTCCGGGGTGGACGCGGCCCCTTTAAGAGCAGAGCCAGTAATTGCCGGAGTCCTCAGTCAGTCAGATACCCAGCGAGTCAGTCTGGCGCCAGCACTATGCAAACTGTATATTATCGGCACTCCTTCACCTAAATAACAAGAGGAGGACCTCCTTGTCAGAGGGGGAAAAAAGCGGCCTCGCTTTTTGGATGCTGTGGGAAGCTTGCAAGGCTCTTTGCGAAAGCCGAAAGGAGTCATGTGTAATGGGCTCGGAATGTACCAAAGCAAAAAAAAAAAAAAAAAGAAAAAACTGAGCAATGAAAAGTTGATGAAATTAGGACAGGTCGTAAAACACGAAAGAGGAGATTGTGTAGCGTGTTCCGCTTGGGAATAATCACATTTGAGGCCTGATTCTGTTTGATGGGATCGTCTGTATGAGTGGAGAAAAAACCGAAATAATGTTACTGATGCGTTTTTCTCCCCCCCCTGATTGACATTTGTATCCACAATAAGAACATTCTTCCTGGGCTGCAGGCCGCGGGCGAGCAATCCTCATTTATGGGAAATACCCCTATTTATTTCACGGTAACTTTTAAGCTCAATCCGGGGCTTGTTTTGGGTAGAACTCAGTCCTATCGTTGATGGGATCTGCATGGACGTCCACCTGGTTTTAGACCTGCAGGGTCTCTTCTTGGTCCAGACACACACACACACACACAC